CACACAACACACCTCTGGCAGGAATTATTCCAGGGCAAAAATTCAGCACAGGAAACAGTATTTAGGATTCATCCCAGATGTAGACACCTTTAGGCAAAAGTTTATGGCTTTGTAATATAGCAGTTTTTTGTCTCCATAGCGGACTGTCTTTACCAAAAGTTATATGGTAATGTAACCTGTAAGAGTAAATAATCAAGCTACGATCTAGAAAATCATGAGGTTGTTTCTACTTGTGCATGGGTTTTTAAGGTACCACAAGACATCCATTTCCACTGTTGCAGATTAACATAGCTACCCCTATTTTTTTCCAGATTCCCCCTCTCTTTGACAGCTCCAACCCCTTTCCAAGAGCCCTGAAAGTGAAGGAGCCCTCCAAAGCAGTACACTGTGTGGCACAAGCAGCTACCACTGGGTGGCAAAATTGGCTATCAGGCCATAAGACAAATGTGAGCTTGCTGCTTATTTGTGTGAACATATTGGCTCAAACACTGGATCACTTGTGAATTGTCTCTGCTTAATGTGTTTGGGGGGTTATAGGAAAATGCACTTCTGATGTTTTGTAATCTTATGTTATTTCTAACCTGGTTGCATGTATAAAGAGTCATAATACAATCCATATCAATTACTGCTCTGTTTTTTTAGCCTCCAGCAGCTTCAAGAGTGACACAAGTGACCTTTAAAGTCAACTGTATATATATTACAAGAGCTGTCCTTAATATCAAGGACATGTATTTGCTTTTCTCAAGCAGGCACAATACTTTGGCACTGCACCTAGTCTTTAAGCCTCAGGGCAGTTCTGGTTGTAGCCTTGACTCCCAGGCATCACTTGAGCAACAAAATAATGAATGGTAAAATCTATTTTGGTAACTTTTGTCCTTCACTAAATACCATTATGAAGGCAGTAATATTCAGCGACATGAACAATATTTTTGTTTTGTTTTCAGTTCACCTTCTTATTAAAAACCTTGATTTGGTTTCTCTCAGTTCATTATTAAAGCTATTCATTATTAAAGCTATACTTGTTCAGTTTTGTTTCTGTTTCCACTGGTTCTGGCAAGAAAACACATATTTGGCTAAACCTGTCCTTCCCTTATCCAAATGAGATGTAATTCTCAAGGACTGTGGCTCGCTTGCACACAAGGGATCCTTCCCTGACAAATCTGGGGCAAACAGGAGAAACCATCTCATTTAATAATGCACCTGAAATTCTCACTTGCAGAGGAAACATGTGACAACCCAAGAAACTAGTTAGCATGGCAGAGTGTGGGCAATATATAAATAATAAAATTGAATTGGGCAGGCACCATGTTAAGCAGGAATGCTGGACTGCCACTGTACTAGGTATTCAGGGACTGAGATTTAGTAAGGGGGCAGCTTGCACAGCAGAGCCATCACCTCCCTGCTTTGCATGCTCTGTGGAATTGGCATTTGAATTTCTCCTTCTTTCATTAGAGGAGAGGAGTGACAAATGGAGTGCGTCAGGGATCTGTCCTGGGACCTGTGTTGTTCAACATCTTTATAAACGATCTGGATGAAGGAATAGAGGTGATGCTCATTAAATCTGCAGTTGATGCTAAATTGGGAGGTGTAGCAAATACAGTAGAAAGAGTCAGGATACAAGATGATCTTAACAGGCTGGAAAACTGGGCTAAAATGAACAAAATTAATTTCAATGGAGGTAAATGTAAAGTTCTGCATTTAGGTAGGAAAAATCAAAAGCATAGTTATAGGATGAGGGAGACTTGTCTTGGCAGGAGTACATGTGAAAAGGATCTAGGGGTCTTATTAGACCACACACTGGACATAAATCAGCAATGTGATGTGGTAACTAGGGATGGGCACAGACCAGACCACAGACCTACTTTTTCCATGGACCGGGGTCCAGTTCATGGTCCATGAGCCCAGTCCGTGCCATCCTGCCAACATGGACCTCCCACAACCCACCCAGGAGGTTCATAAGGACCTTGTCAGTGGGGCTTGCAAAAGCCATTTAACGGGAACGCAGGTGAAGTCACCCTTGGCCTTCACTCACATGCTGTGCAGCTTTGCAAAAGCCATTTAAAGGGAACACCCTTTAAATGGCTTTGTAATCTGCTTGGTCTCACTGACCAAATGAACCATGATGACCCAGTCTGTTAAACATGGAGGTTCGTGGTCCGTGAAACTCACAGACCTCCGAACCTCAATGGACCACCATTTTTCTGGACCATGCCCATCCCTAGTGGTAACTAAAAAGGCAAATGCAATTTGGGGCTGCATCAACAGAAGTACAGTGTCCAGATCACACAAAGTGATGGTATCACTTTACTCTGCTCTGGTTAGACCTCACTTGGAGTACTGTGTTCTGTTTTGGGCACTGCAGTTTAAGAAGGATGTTGAAAAGCTGGAACATGTTCAAAGGAGGGAAACAAAGATGGTGAGGAGTCTAGAGACCAAACCCGATGAGAAAAGGCTGAAGGAGCTGGGTATGTTTAGCCTGGAGAGGAGACAACAGAGGTGCTATGATAGCCATCTTAAAGTATTTCAAGGGCTGTCATATGGAGGATGAAGCAGAGTTGTTTGTTTTCTGTTGCCCCAGAAGCTCAGACAGAACCAATGGATTGAAATTAAATCAAAAGCGTTTTTAACTAAAGATTAAGAATAACTTCCTAACCGTTAGGGCAGTTCCTCAGTGAAACAGGCTTTCTCGGGACACAGTGGGCTCTCTTTCTTTGGAGGTTTTTAAGCACAGGCTAGATAGCCATCTAAGAGCAATGCAGATTCTGTGAATTTAGGCAGATCACTAGAAGGTGGGAAAGGATGAGTCCGTGCTTGGTTCTCATGGCCCTTTCTTACATGCCCAGGGTAATGCCAATGGCCATTTTGGGGTTTGAAAGGAATTTTCCTCCCCAGGCCAGATTGGCCCAGGGATCCTGGAGGTTTTTTGCCTTCCTCTGGGCATAGAGCAGGGGTCACTGGGGGGGGGGGAGAGGTAGTTGTGAAATTCCTGTGTTGTGCAGGGGTTGAACTAGATGATTCTTGAGGTCCCTTCCAGCTCTATTTTCTGTGTTTCCCTCAGGGCAGAACTACATGTGTAATTCTATTATTTGGAATTACTGTTGTTTTTCAGCTGATACCATGCCTCCTGATGAGCTACAGTTTCTCTGTGCTTTACATACACCTTATTGAGAGAAGACAGTAGCTATCATGTGGCATCTTTGTGGGGTGGGAGCAAGTACAGCATTTGCTTGTATCCCTATCTCCTTGTTTGCTGCCCTTCCTGTGGCCACAGCAATGCAAGCAAAACACTTCCCCCCCCCCAGCAGTGCTATATATCCCCTCCGGTGGGGGGAATCATAACAGTCGCCTCTCTCCTCCAAAGTCACCAAAGCTATCTGGTTGCTAGGGTCTCCAAACAAAACATTTGCCACAGTGCCTAGCAGGAACAGAACTAGACAACTGAACAACAAGCAAACAGGAGCTACAACCTACATAGCCCTCCCCAACCCAATGAGCCCACTATGTGATTAACGTACATGGTTTGAGCAATCCTGTTTAGGGGCAAGACACGTGTTACTGTGTTGACTACGGAAATGCCCCTATAGTTACATACTGTTGTCATTCTCTCTTCACTTTCCCTTGTGCCCTCTGACCTTCTTGAACTCTAAGACAGACATCCAAGAACCAGAAAACTAGAAAGAATGGAGTGATCCTGAATTCTGTCATTAATTTTTCAATTTGGATTAGTTATAACTGTATCAACAAATAGAGGTTTGTTTGTTTCAGCTTCTTCATTAGATAACATCTGAATGCACATCCCTACAATTGACTCCACTGCTTTCAACAGCTGAAGCAACAAGACTCTGGAGTTACTCTGCAAATACCAAACTGCATACTGAGCTGTTGTTCTCACCACCCTATTTCATGGATTACAACCCAGTGCATGTTATTAACACACTTACTCAGACATATTATCAGCATCAAATGCTACAGCAATGACCCCTAAGGCTGTTTCCTATAAAAGCTGCTTTATACATCTCATTATGAAAAGGGCCCATGTGAAAAGATATGCTTATATCATTTTAAGTCCAGTCACTGAAACAGAGGTGGCCAAGACAAGGAATCAGAGATAGTCTAATACTAAAGGCCACTTTAAAGTTCATAATATTAAACCACATAGCAGGAAAGACACAGCTGCTGTCAGACTCTGCTAGCATCATATACCTGCCAGTCAGAGTTGAATTCATTAACATACCTGGAATGGAAGGTAATCCATTCAGTTTCCCTTATGGCTTCTGGTACAGTATATGTTGTCATTTTATTGAGTATGGAAGCTAAATTCAAATATTTGGTGTTTTAACTGCCAAGTCCTTTCTCCTTTCTTGTCAGTCATCTTAATGTAATTCAAACCAATTGTTGTATTTGCAGTCCAATGTTTTTGCCTCTTCATATACTGAAAAACACAATGGCTTCAAGCTAAAATTACTGGAGTTTTATTATTTGGTGTTTTTTTTCATTTACTAGATTAATTTTATCCATTTTGTGTTCAACATACTACCCAAGTTACACCATTTAAAAAGTTGCTCTGAAGAGAAAGCCAAAGAAAATCAGACCTGGTAAGAAAGATGAGAAAACAGTATACCTCTTTCAGTTGGTTCAAATATTATGTAGTATATTTCCATACTATAAATATTCTAATTCTAAAACAGGGCATGGTAATAAAAAATAAGTGAGTTTTGTACAAAATTTAACATATACCATGTGAACCTATTTTGAAACAAAATACTTATTTAAAATAGTCATTGGTTTGGACAATGCTTTCCAATAATTCACAAAAATGATTTAGATGATTTGTTACAGAAGGGAAGATCCATTTTAATTTTGCAGAACTCATTTGGAAACCTTTCCACTATCATTCCTTGTATTTTTACCAATTGAGAACACTGAATGCTTTTAAACAAGGTACATGGTCACCAAGTTTCTGAAGTCCGTTGCTCAATAAATAAGCAAATGATGTCGTCTTATTTTCAAGTAAATCAAACCTGATCAGGTTGGTTTAACAGCACCGCCTAGTCGTCTGTGCAGTCTGCTTCCCAAGTTTGATTGTTCCACTATTGCCATTTTCATGAGTTTCCAAGGGAGGGATCTTTCGACCTGGAAGTGTTCAGGGGGAAGAAAAAAGCAATTCGAAGCTTGATATGCTGTAGAATTCCTGTTCTCTTATATTCAAGAAACAACCTTTGTGGGCAGGGAAGGCACATTCTGAACACTCCTCTGCTCACTAAAAAAACAACAACAATATCCCCTAGCTCACTAAGTTCTGTGTATAAATAAAGGTCACCAGAGCAGCAGAGCCATTTAACCCTGTGAAAATGCTTTAAATCACATTACTGTACATTCTTAGAGGAGAGCCAGATTACATCTGCTGGCCCCGGCCCCAACTCCTGCATGTTCAACCCAGACCGATTCCCCACAAGCAGCTGTGTCGCCCTCGCTCTTCCCTCCCTCCAGATTGTATTTGTCAATTTCCCACTACTTGATCCAGAAGGCCCGGGGAAAGGGGGGGGGGGGGGAGATGCAAGTCAAAATGCTGCCACACAGCAAATAGTGTGAAATTGACCAATGCAACCGGGGCAAACGGAAGAGCAAGGGCAGCACAGGTGCTTGTGGGGAATTGGTCCCAGTACTAAAGTGATGCCTACACATATGGGCTCCTCCATGTGATTGGAATGCTGGAAAAAGCAGGGATGTACATGCACAGGATGTGTAGAAAGAGCTGAAGGTACAGAAATAAAACAGCTGAGAACAAATACAGGTAATACTGTTTTACAAAAGAAAATACTTTACATTTTCTCTTGAAATTTTGTAAGATTCCACCAGAAGAAGATCAATAATATTAAAACAGATTATCTGGCTGCATTTGATGTAAAACTCTGTTTCTTTGAGAAAGGCATTCATCTGCCTTGTTCCTGTGATAGTTCTCTCCCCTCCTTCCTTCCTTTGTGCCCAGAGCATGACTGAAAACTGCCTGGTTTCAGAAGTCTTGATTCAAGCTCCAATTTGTTGCAGCTTCTAAATGTTGGTGTCTGTTAAAACTTGAGTTTGCTTCTTGCCCTCAAGTCAGGACTCAAACTGTAATCCAGTTTAGACTTCTGATTTATGGAGCAGAAACAAACTGCTCATGCCCACATTCAGGTAACACAAAAAACTGTTCACAATGGAAGTAGAAAGGGGGAGCTTCCAGTTTATGGCGACATGCAGGCAGACACATCTCCTGGACGTCCCGGGGATGTAAACTGCACACCAGCGTGTGGGAGGGGGTCCGACGGGTCACACCCCCCCCCCCGGAGCCTTGGTAAAAGGCTCCCAGCCAGGGGACTTTTGAGGGGCGACCTCTTCGATGGCCAAAAGCCGGAGAATTGAGGCGGCCCTCCGCCCTGAAAGTCCTGCCACTGAGTGACCGCATGTTACGAGTGCTGCTGGCCGGGACAAGCGTTGGAGATCGGGCGAAATAAATGACGACGAGTGAGGCTGAATGGCCAACAACGAACTGTGAGTCGGGTTGAAGCGAGCATGAAGATATAAAAAGAAGCTGCCCCCCCCAAGAGCGACGTAAAAGCGAGCGGGGGAGGGATCCCTCCCAAACGCATAGACGAAACACGGAAGGAAAGAGGGGGGAGTGGAAAAATAAGCGAATTAAACTGTTTTAAGAGACTTACCAGAGCGCAGAAAAGCGTTTGGGTGAATATCAGAGACTTTAGCAACTTTTTTGAAAAGTAAACAAATTAAAAAAGATGACGGGGAAGAAACTGGAGAAAGAGAAGCTGCTGAAATCAAAACTAGGGGCCAGTCCTCAAATGGATGAGGTCACTGAGCTCTTAAGACTCTTGGCTGACTCCCTGTGCCCCCTTGCTGGACGGGATCACTGGCATTAAACAACAACTGTCAATAATTGGGCAGAGTGTGGCAGCGCAGCAGATGTAACTGACGCAATCCTTAAAAGCAACAGAGCAAATGGGAGAGAAGGTGAAGGAAATAGACATCACTACTAAAAAAGTTAAGAAAAAGGTGCAAAAGCTGGAAATGAAGCAAGCTACAGAAGAGTCAAAGCTTTTACAGCTACAAATGGATAAAGCAAATTTGGTCCTACGGTTTCAAGGGGTCCCGGAGAGAATCTGAAGCAACGGCTGAATGAAGCAATAGCCCCAATGACAGATTTAACAGCGGAATACCTTTGCAGTGAGATAGATGTGGTCTACAGGTCCTATTCATCGTACATCAAGAAAAATTATCTGCCTGGGGAAACACTGGTCAGATTCTCGAAGAGACACATGAGAGATGCTATTTTGAAAGCAAATTCAGGAACACCCTTGAAAATTGGGGGCAATAATATCAGGATTTTAAAAGATATTCCATTTGATATAAGACAGAAGAGAAAGAACTATAAAGAATTAATCCTTTTCTTACAAACAAATGGCATCAGTTACAGGTGATTAACCCCAGAAGGCGTCATTTTCAAGATTAACGATAAAAAAGAAAAGATTGACTCTGTTTTTAAAGCACATGAATTTCTGCGGACACAGCTTGGGGAACCAGAAGAGGGCAAAGAGGAGGAAAAAGAAAGCAAATCTGATGGCAAGTTGGGTTCGGGGTCTTCGGACGAGGACTCCCCCTCTGAGAAGATAAGAATAAATAAGGGCTGAAGGACTCTGCAATGGGCACCCCAACCCATCAGGCTGGCGTCTGTTGTGATCTGTAGGTCTGTGGTCACTTGGAAGGGTTTGCCTACAAGTTTTTCTTGGTTGTCTATCAAAGCAGGTCCTTCCTGAGATGCTGACTGATGCTGACTCTGATGTGACTTCGGAAGGCTATGAGCCTTTGATGTGGCAATAGTGTCCACTGAGGTCCACTGAAGTACCCAAGAGTGTGCCCAGGCCCAAGGGAGTGTCTCAATAGCTACAATCATGTAACCTAGCAGACAGTGCTAGGATCATCAAGTCCATTTATTTATTTATTTATTTTTATTAGATTTTTTTAGTCACTGCTCACCCAAAGAGTCTCATTAAAACCAATAAGGTAAAAACAATTCTCAATAGCTGCAATCAAATCCATTTATTTAGTTATTTATTTTATATTAGATTTTTTTAGTCACCCAAAGGGTCTCATGGCGACTTACAACATTAAAACCAATAAGGTAAAAATGACATAAAAACAAATAATAAAATACGTGGCTATCACCATACCACTATTAGAACAGTCTAAATATGTAGTTACCCTCCAAAGGCCAACCTAAACAATTCAGCTTTGCATGCTCTGCTGAAACTAAACAAGTCCAGCAGGGCATGGGTGCCATCCAAGAGTGCATTCCACAGGGTAGGGGCCACAACTGAGAAGGCCCTTCCCCCTGGTGACAGCTAACCAAGCCATCCTGGGGCCAGGCACCTGCAAGAGGCCCCTAGACGATGACTGAAGGAAGTGTGGGGAGAATTTCCTGGCTCCCCCTCATTGATTGTTACCCCTTTCCAACACAGAATGAAGTCACATGAGAACTTCTCCATAGTGCCATAATCTGGAGATGTGGTCCCTGACCTTCATCCTGCTATCAGTAAATGGTGCACTCCCCTTGCAGAACAGAACATTCTTATTTTTAACAAGATTTTTACTCCACCTTTTTGCCCCATAGGGCCACCAAGGCGGTTAGCAATTTAAAACATACATGGATAAAATGACCTTTTAAAACCATTAAAATCAACATCCCCTGCAAAAAAGGAATACATCATTAAAACAATTAAAACACAGACTTAAAATACAAAGGAATCCCTGTCTTCAGATCTATAGTCTGAGAAATTTCAATAATTGCTCCTAATGGGGAAGGTGCTTTTACAGGCAGCCTTTGTTGGCCCAGAGGAGCCCTGGCATTTCTCTGTGTCTAGAGGCCTTGAAGTAGCTAATTTATTTGAAGGTTTTGACTGGAGAGGGGAGGGTGAGGAGGGGGGAAGAGGCCTTGCATCGTCTTGGGGGGGGTAAAGAAGGTCTTTTTTTTCTTCTCTAACTGTTTGGAGACAAGTTGTTCTAGCCAGTTGTTAAGAACATTAATGCCAGACATGGTGACAGAACTAAACACTGGTCTTTATAGCATTCATTTTAGCACTATGGGAAAAACAGGCTGAGTTGCATCACATTACACATGCAAGTTCCAATGACATTAAAAAGAGCTGCAAGCATACAACTGGGCATGCCACCCATGAAATGTAAACCGACACCTATCCTAAGGCTGATCACTTACACTTTCAATGTGACCTAACTATAATGCATGCAATGAGGAGGGGCCATAACTAAGTGGCAGTGCATACGTCTTGCCTGGCTCAGGTTCAGTCTCCAGCATCTTTCATTACAAGAATCTCAAGCAGCAAGACTGAGAAAGAAACCTTGGAGAGCTGCTCCTAAACTGAATAGGCAACACTGGATTGCAACCAGCCACCTATGCAAGGAAAGCACACACAGTTTTCCTG